GCAGTGGGACCCAAGCCAAACATCTTGTAACCACAGTGAACCAGAAGCTTTGGGGAGGAGTTGATTGCAAGTCCTAATGTAAATTTCCACCCATAAAAGATGTCTCCTTTTTTCTAAGTTCATTGGAAATTGTATAAAGTATGAGTTTCCTGCCCAACCAGGAATTAGGCAAACATATACCTTCAATCCCAGCACTTGGGAGACAAGAGGAAGGCAGATCTCTCTGAGATAGAGGCCAACCTGGTCTACAAAGTAATTTTCCAGCTTGCTGAAACAAGAGACCAAACCAAAACCAAAACAAAACAAACAAAAGATATACAAAAATTTGTGAATGTAATTCATGACCAGCACTCCTCACTTAGTTTGGAAGCTCCAGTATTTCCTCCCCTCTTCATTTCTGTCTGTCACGCAAGGTATAAGCCACATGACTCACCTACAAAGAGACATTGACTCAGGGATGTTGTAATGGACATTTAAAATCAGCCAGGAACTTGAGGGTCTTAGAACAGAGACGGAGACTGGAACATACATTGCCCTTAGCCTTAAGGAAGTCTCGCTGGATATAGCTTGACTGCTGCTACCAAGACAGCAGTATGGCAGGTCCAGAATATGATAGACTATGACAAGCCTGTGGCAAGGTCTAGCCTGGTACCTAAATAACAAAAATAGATTCCTTGGAGAGGAAGCCACTGTCAAAGCACACATCTCCAGAACTCTACTTTAGTGCTCATCTTTTCTCCCCTTGAATTCACCCAAGCCTGCTGACCCAAATTTTGAGCCAAGCACCAGAAAAGTGAGGACTCATCAGACAGAAGACCCAGAACATCCATGTGGGTCACACCTTACTATCTGATATGCCTGGCTGGATATAGCTGGGATGCATGCACCGGGGGAAGGTCCAGGATATGACAGACCTGAGGCTGGGTCTGGCTTGGTAGCTGAGTAGTAAAGATGGCTTCTTCAGAGAGGAAGCAGCTCATGCAGTAAAGGAATCTCCGGAACTCCATTCCTCATGCCCAGACGTTGTCACAGTGAGCTCTCTCAAGTCTTTTCATCTAACCTCTGTACTGACCACCAAAAGGAAAGTGAAGCACCCAGGAACAGTCATGTGGGACACATCAGTTCATGATTTATAACTGTGAAAATTTGCATTTGATGGCACAGGACTCAGGATCAAGGCAAAACTCACCTTATTCTCATTCTACCTGCCGCATGATGTTTCTGGGGAGCCATATGAAACACCTATGTCTATTCACCCCAGGGAGACAGGGCACCAACCTACTACAGAAATTCCAGATTGGTGAACCAATCAGTTTCTTGGGGCTGCTTACAGAACCATGTATGATTCAAAGACATCTGTTTCAGCCGGAAGTTCCCTGATTAATTTACAGGCAAGTACAGGGCAACTACACAGTCTCAGCCTTCACCCCATCACCTAGGAATTATTCACCTCTTCTGCAACCTCAGTAACAGGACTTGCCAGCCTGATGATCCATGTTCTTCCCTCCATGAGGCAGTGATAATCGGCTCCTCCACTAAGGATCACATGTAAGGGCTCACAGCTGCTCTATTTCAACACTGAAATGTTCTTGCCATCCTGTGGGGACAAGCTACACATTATGACAAAGCCCTCAAGCTTTCTGTGGGCTTCCAAAAAAATTGAATGCAGGACTCACCAGTTTTCTGGTCATTTTAATATGAATATTCTTCTCAATATTCCTTCCTCGGCTCAATTCGGTCATTATCATTTAGAGTTTAATAGCTACACACTTGAGTTATTGCCTAAGTTAGTTCCTCATGCTCAACACAGTATTATAGTATTCAGATTCCCCAGCAGAGTAAGTATGTTCAGCTAACTATTGTCCCTACATCACAAGCTCCCTGTTTTTTGAAAACCCACCTATTTCAGCCTCCCAGCCTTACCATAGCAACACCAGCACCTTTGAGCTCTGCAGAGCTTTTCCCTCCCAGTTCCTGGGCATGTACTAGTTCAGCCCCTTTCAAGCTCATTAACCCTCCAGGCAGTGCTCTGTTGGGACCCAAGAAAGCCTTACACTGCATAAGCCCACAGGATGGTACTGAGTCTGGCATTGTTGTCACAGAATTAAGGGAAATTCCTCCTGTCAAAGAAATCCAGATCTGAAATGTGATTAAAGTGGCAAACATTTTATTCAAAAACAATTAGAAAATATAAGTTTGTGTTGAACTGGATTCAATCCCAAATGCGTCCTGAACAAAGTTCTGGGAGGTTGTAGCAGGAGCAGTGGGAATGGATTATTGGGTAGAAAATACCAACAGAAAACGTCAGGTCTAACTAAACAAACTTGATGGAATTCTTATGGAAGTCAGGCCAGGCTGGTCAGAAACTAAGTACAGATGGATGAAGAATGATTTCTGATATCAGGGAAGAACTTTAAGTCTCTTAAAATAAAGTTCCAGAATGATTGGTAAAAGGAAAATTCTTCATTTTTTTAAAATTCTGATTATGCTTGGATATATGACAGAATCCTACAATATACCAACTCAGCTGACGTTTTATTCAATAAAATTGTTTTGCTTTCTCAGTACCCACATATACTTGTGGTATCTCCATAAAAATTGAAAATCAAATGATAGGAATCACTTTTACTTGATAAGAGTGGAGAAATCTGTAACTTAAAATCAAGCCTCACATTAATAATATATTCAAGTCAGTTCAGCAAATATGTATTGACCGTGTACTATAAGTCAGGCACTTAGTGATTAACATAAGAAGGTACAGGGCCATTCCACCTCAGCTCCTATAATCTAGTCCTGGAGGAACTGATAATGGGGGACTACAAATATGCAAAGAAACTGATATTATTAGTGCCCACTGATGAATGGGCATCCAAAGCATATGTGATGCCAAATATCTTTTTATCACTTCGATCAGCACAGGAAACCTGGGGGGACGTGATAAACTTACTCCACAGGATGGCTTCTTTCCATTAAAAGACATGTGCTACCACTCAGGCCATACGCCCCTGCAATCTCACTCTTCTTTGAAAGGTGCCATTTAAAGATGATGACAGGAAACTTGCTGTGACCTTGTAAACTTTTTCTTTTCAAATCACTCAAAAAGGGCCAATTCTCTTTCTTCTTCTGTTGCCCAAGGTCAGAGTTAACTTGAGCATATGCATACAATATAGTCTATTGATTAGCTAGACATTTTGTCTTCCGGTGTGGGACTTCTGCCCTCCCTCAGAAAACTTAGAATGGATTGACTCCTTGTCAGGCAGTACTGAAGGTTCTTTCTTCAGAACTTTGCCAGGCTATCTGTGACATTAATAACACTCTCTTAACACTCTCACCTGAAGGACAATTCATCTCAATGACATCCCAAACCTACCATCTCTCTTTCCAATCCCTAAAATCTAACACTATCTAAATCACGTCTCTGCAAAATACATATATTACATTGTCTTGAATTCTCTGTTTCTTCCTTATCATCGTTACTTTTCTTTTTAAATATTTTTGAGCATATATACATGTACATAATTTTCATTGTGTCAGTTTCATATATACAACATATTCTGACCATATCCAAGCCCCACTATTATTTCTCACCCCATCTCCACACTCCTTCTGATCCCCTTCTCTTTTCTAATAGTCTCTTCCTATGTGTCTTTTTTTTTCTAGACTCCACATATAATGGAAAATAGACCATTCTTGTTTTTGGAGACTGCCTCCATTATGTATGTATGCTCTGTGTGTGTGTGTGTGTGTGTGTGTGTGTGTGTGTGTGTGTGTATGTGTGTGTGTATGTGTGTGTGTCTGAAGGTGTGTGTGTTTAATCTACTCATCTGTTGGTGGAAGCTAAGCTGATTCCACATCTTAGATATTGTAGTGTGGTCTTTTTTTTTCCTGGCATAATTTGTTCAACCCATTGACAGATTAGAGAATTCCATGGTCACTAATCATTAAAAAAATACAGTGGTAAACAAGTCTCTGGTAATGGTAATGGAGCTATTGACACCCCTTAGTACATAGAAGAGGGGAGAGTCACAGGACCCTCATCAGGGAGTCCTGCCCCTTATCCCTTCCTATCCACCACTGCAGATGCAAATGAATACATAGGAAGAGGAACTTGAACTTAAAAGGAGACTCCCATTAACCACCCCCCAATCATAAAGCAATTCTAAGCAATTCTTGCT